TAGCTGGGACTACAGGCGCCCGCCACAATGCCTGGCTATTTTTGTTGTTGTTGCTGCAGTTGTCATTGTTGTTTTAGCTGACCTGGGCCGGGTTCAAACCTGCCAGCTTTGGTGTATGTGGTCAGCACCCTACCTACTGAGAGCTACAGGTGCTGGTCCCTGGTCTTCAACTCTTGAGCTCAAGTAATCCTACCTTGGCCTCCCAGAGTGCTAGAATTACAGGTATGAGCCACTGCACTGGTCCTTCTTGTGACTTCTAATGTTGGCTGAAGAATTTAACAGCTGGATCTTTTAATCGAGGATTCACCACAAACAGATTACAAACCCCTTAAAATATAGTCATGCTTAGCTTAACCACAGGAATACATCCTGAGGAACGTTCACTAGGCAATTTCTTCGTAGTTTGAACATTGTAATACATTTATACGAATTAGATCAGTGGTTCTCAACCTTCCGAATGCCACAACCCTTTAATACAGTTCCTATGGGTCATGACCCCACAGGTTGAGGACCACTGAATTAGATGGCATAACCAACTACACGCCTAGGCTACATGTCATAACCTATTGCTCCTAAGCTGCAAACCTGTACAGCACATTACTGTACTGAATACTGTTGGCAACTGTAACACAGTGTAAGTGTTTGTGTTACTTAGCATAGCACAGAATAGGTACAGAAAAATATGGTGTTATAAACTTATGGGACCACCATCATATAAGCAGTCTATTGTTGACCCAAATGTCCTTATGATGTGCAAGACTATAATCCTTTGCTCTCCTATCTCTACAATGTAGCAGAATTTAAAAAAAGTTTTATCCAAAGACTGCAACCTTTTATTTTCACCTCAGAAAAAACCACCACCAATACTGTAAACAACAAGCTAGCTGGCAATGAAAATCAAACTACCACAGAAGCAAAGGTTATATACCAAAAGACTCTCACTCAGTTTAAAAATATAAACATAAATACAGATAGGAAGATGGGAAGAGAGTAACAGCCTGTTGTTTTTTTCCATTCAAAAACCGATTTGAAAAAAAGAATGCAACACTGAAATGCCTGGTGCATTTCACCATCCCTAGCAATAAATAGTAAAAGCAAGATGATAAAGTACAGGACATGCAGTATGGAACCCACAGGTTCCAAATACTATCCAAAAAGCAACATTACTCGATTTCTTCAAGGTAGCTTGAGGCTACCTTGCAAAGTTAAAAGGGCAAAGATGCTGGAAGACCTAATTACATATCGTTCAGGAAACTTGAGGATTTAGAGCAAAGGACACTGTATAAATCAAAACATTATCATATTGTTAATTATACTGGGTTTATAAGGTGAGTTTATATTTGGGTATCCTCTGGTAGTGACATTTTACAACATAATTATGTAGAGAGTTTGCACAGCCTGATGAATTTCCTGAGGGCGAACTGCAACGAAACGTTTTATTATTCGTTTATTGCTAGTCACGTTGTTCACACAACACCTCTGTACGTAACGTTCCCTTTGAAATGTACTGTTACTAGATTGCCCTGTGTTATGCTATCGAAAACCATCGTCCAACATGCTCTTTTCCCCGGACGTGCCTTAAGTACGCGAGTGGACATTACACAGAAAAACTTTTATATAATAAAAGTACTGAATGTCTCCAGTCCTTAATATAGAGTTCCTTATTAAATGACAAAGGCAACAACCAATCACTAGGCAGGATCCCTATGTCTCAGCCAATAAGAATATGGGGGTGGGGCTAGACTAAGCTCCGGGTGACTTCCCCGCACCCCAGAGACCCCGGTTGTGGTAGACTGGACGCAAATTGGACTCCGAGGATCTCGTTACCCCCGGTTGTAGCTGTTATCTTCCTCGTTCTCGCAATCGCTGCAGTGCTCATGGCCGTTTCCGTTCCCTTCCATCATCTGCGGCAGCGAAGGTGCCGGCGGCTTCACTGCTGTCTCACTCTCGTCCGCCATCTTGAGTCACTAGAGCCGGGCTTCGGCCCCGCTATATGGGGGGCTCCTATTGGATGAGGGGAAGTTGCGTTGTACTCTGGGCTTTGTAGTTTTTATGGCGAGAAGAGCGGCCACTAGGAACAGCCCTTACCCACCGAAACCGAAATAGTATGGACTACAATACCCAGAAATCGCGATGAGAGGCTGTCCTTGCGGCAGTGGGAGGGGGCAGCAATACCCGGAAGCCTAGCAGTCCGGCCACACTTTGAGGAAAGAAGGGCCAAATGTTGGTGGGGCCGACCCCCCGACCGGTGCGGGCGGCCGCATGGCATGCTGGGAGTTGTAGTTCTATAGTGGTTTAGTGTTTCAGGCGTGAGGCTCCAAAATCCAAGGTTTGACTTCAGTCTGCCCTTGCTAGTTCCTGGGCTGCTGGTGAGCCGTTATTGCCTGCCGTTAAGGACCGTTACCTTTCCCCGGTAAGTGAGAGGGCCTGACGCCCGCAGGTGCGACTCGTCGGGAGCTCAAATGTCCCGGGCCTTCTTGGAGGGGGCTTTTCTGCGAGAAGCCGGGTTGGCTCCTGGCAGCCTTCCTCACTCTGGAGTCTAGGCAGCGTCCCCCATCCCCGCCCCCAACCGCTGGTAATTCAAGGCGGCCGACCGTGGTGTGAAGAGCATTGATCTAGGAGATCAGACTGCTTGGCAGGCAGGGTTTGCGGCGTCTTTCTTGGACTTCAGGTGCGGGTCTCCGCCAAGCTCTTCCGCACTCACGTCCCTTTCATTCCCTACAAGATCCCTCCACGGTGACTCTTTAATAAGCATTTACATGGCAGATTCTGTAGTAAGGCTTTTCTTACATTATCCCACTTAATCCTCTCAACAAGCCTAGAATGTAAGTACCTTTTTCACGGACAAAGAATGTGACCCTGAGAGGTCGGTAAACTGCACAGTCACTTAACTAGAAAGTGGCAAGTCAGTATACAAATCCAGATTTGTCTTCCTTTAAGCCCTCGAAAGTCCCATTTATCCACCCAAAGAAATCAGTTACTAGAAGATAACTGCGACTCCAGTGTGTATCCTGAATGTTCAAAGAAAAAAAGGTAACTGCGACATTTAAAATCTGTTTTTAGCCTTGACTGAATGTTTCAGTCTCCTGGGTCTCCTGTGATTGAGTAATCTCACCTGAGTTTTCAGAAGAGCATCTACAGACATAATAGCTCTCCCATTCTTAAAGATTTTCCTATTCAGGTTGGGTATGGTGTTTGGTGAGGAAAGGACTAGTTCTTACCATCAGAGAGTTCCATGGCTAATTAGGGAAATGGTCTTTGCCTTTGAGAAACTTTTAACATGGGAGTAAGGTCAGAGCAGGATGGGAAGAAACAGTTCTCATCTGACTCAAAGAAAGAAAACACAAATAAAACATAGAGGTAAATACAGTCATCCAAGAGCAGAAGTAAATATGATCCCACGCAGCAGAAAATCCTGATTATTTATATTTGACTTTGGAAGACAGTCGAAGATACCTGTTCAGTCTGAGAGCTGTCACCACACTCATCTCTCTAGAGCCAAGATTGCTGTTACCACAATGCCTTATTTGTAGCTGAAGGGGAAGGGGAGGTCAAAGATAAGAAATCCTTCTTACACGTGTTAGAAGGATTTATCTCTTCTAAATGTTTCACCTGCTTTAGCTCATAAGACTTTGTGATATAGATAGAGAATAGAACTTGAAGGAAATTGTGCTTACAAAGAATCATAGTGGTACCCCGTAACAGAGCTTGGATCAGAACGCACATCTGGTGTTTTCAATCCCAGCCCTGTGTTTTCTTTCCCGACAGATGTGTAGAGGTTGAATGAACACAAATGAAGCATGACCAGGGAAAACTATGAAGGAATGAAGGTGCTGGTTTCTTTGGCCTTCTCATTCTGTGGTTCAAAGCTTAAGTAAGACACTTTGCCTTATATTTTAATGCAAACTGAGCAGTTTTTGTTCAGTGGAAAACCTTTTTGGAAGGTAGACAAGTAACATGGCTGTCGTGACCAAGCTTAGAATGCAAGTACAAGTCCAAAGTTCTGGAATCCAGCACCTCTGAGAATTTCAGAGTTAGAAAGGACCTGAGAAGCACTTAAGCTTTCTCAGGATTCTTCAAGTTAGACTCCTTACTTAGATTTTGTAGGATCTGTTTCTTTATAAGACTGAAATTGTATGTTTTAAGAGAGGTATATATGTGATTACCTTTTTTAAATGACCATTTGATATCTAAACATGGCCACATTTCATCTTGATGTCTAGTTTACTTTTAGATTTATAGTCACATTGGTATGGAATGATTGCCCAAAGCAAAACAATATGGAATTTCCTGTATTGGGTATACAGATATTTTCTTGGGGTTCCAAGAGTTCTCATATTTGTTCCATCCCATTCTCTCATAAGAGAGCTTTCCATTTTCAGATAGCTGTAATTGAGGGAAAGTTCTGCCATATGGAGTTATGCAGAAATAAATAATCCTATAACATTGTAGTTAGTTACTACATTTTCTATAATTAGTACCTAGTTCTCTAAAATTCTTTTTTTTTTTTTTTTTTTTTGAGACAGAGTCTTACTGTATTACCCTGGATGGAGTGCCATGGTGTCATCATAGCTCACAGGAACTTCAAACTCCTGGGCTCCCAAGTAGCTGGGACCACAGGCACCTACCACAATCCCGGGTCATCTTTCTATTTTTATTTATTTTATTTTGAGACAGAGTCTCACTTTTATCACCCTCAGTAGAGTGTGTGGCATCACAGCTCACAGCAACCTGGGCTTAGGCGATTCTCTTGCCTCAGCCTCCCAAGTAGCTGGGACTACAGGCGCCCACCACAACACCCGGCTATTTTTTTGTTGCAGTTTGGCTGGGGCTAGGTTTGAACCTGCCACCCTCGGTATATGGGGCCAGCACCCTACTCACTGAGCCACAGGTGCTGCCCCTTGAGACAGAGTTTTATTTTGTCACCCTCAATAGAGTGCTGTGGTATCACAGCTCACAGAAACCTCAAACTTTTGGGCTTAAACTATCATCTTGCTTCAGCCCCGCCAAGTAGCTGGGACTATAGTTGCCAGCCACAACATCCGGCTATTTTTAGAGACTCAATCTCTAAAATTGATCAGGGTCTCTTGCTTAGGCTGGTCTTGAACTTCTGAGTTCAACCAATCCACCTGCCTAGGCCTCCCATAGTGCTGGGATTACAAGCGTAAGTCAACATGCCCAGCCTCCTAAAATTCTTTTCTCCAAGGTACATTTCCCAGCTTTCTGAGCACTTCATCACTCTAGAATAGCAGGACTCTCCCATCTAGCTCTACTGTCTCTTTCTACCCATCCATTCTGGCAGGAGCATCACATGAAGATGGTAGAATATAGCAGGGCCCAGAGGGTGACTGAGGATCGTGCCCATGAAGCTCAGATTCTGAAATTTGCTCCAGTGTAGATATCTCCATTGTCCTTCACAGTTGTTACTGGAGGCAAGAGAATATAGTGGTTAAGAGTCTAGGCGCCCGTGTATGAATCCCTGGGTTCTAAAGCCTGGTTCTGCCTTTGACTTAATGAATGACCTTAGGCAAGTCACTTAAAGTCTCTGAGTCTCAGTGTCCTCATTTGCAAAATGAGAGGTGCAGTCTGGGCAAGGTGGCTCAGGCCTGTAATCCTAGCACTCTGAGAGGCTGAGTTGGTTGGCTTGCCCTGAACGCATAGGTTCAAGACCAGCCTGAGTAAGAGGAAGACCGCTTCTCTAAAAATAGCCAGGCATGGGTGGCACCTGTGGCTCAGTGGGTAAGGTGCTGGCCCCATTTACCGAGGGTGGTGGGTTCAAACCCAGCCCCGGTCAAACTGCAACAAAAATATAGCCAAGCATTGTAGTGGGCACCTATAGTCCCAACTACTTGGGAGGCTGAGGCAGGAGAATCCCCTAAGCCCAGGAGTTGGAGGTTGCTGTGAGCTGTGATGCCATGACACTCTACCGAGGGTGATAAAGTAAGACTCTGTCTCTAAAAAAAAAGAGTGAAAAAATAGCCGAGTGTTGTGGCAGGCACCTGTAGTCCCAGCTACTTGGGAGGCTGAGGCAAGGGGATTGCTTGAGCCCAAGAGTTGGAGCTATGATGCCACAGCAGTCTATGAAGGATGACAAAGGGAGACTCTGTCTAAAAAAAAAAAAGAGAGACATGCATACATAGCACTTAATAAAGTGTCTGGGATAGAATTAATACCCAATTATTATTTCTCTTCCCAGGAAGTCAGCATTACTACTATGGTAACCACAGAAAAACTTTCTCATGATGTTCATCACAGATTTGTGATGTATGCCCAGCATATCAGAGATAACTCTTTCTTCTAGTGGGCCTAGGAAGGCTTTTAAACCAGGTTATAATCATTTATTCAACACCTTTGGAGCGCTGATGATGACATATCAAGCTCTTTGGCAGGAAATGGAGAATCAGGCATAGAACAAGGCAGTCCCTGTCCAGGGTTCACGCCACAAGTTCGGAAGTTCACAGACTTACAGTTAGAGTAGAGCTTAAGGGAATGGGGACCACAGGGTGCCCAGAGGAGAGAACCTTAACCTGGGGAAAGCGGTCTTGGAGGAAGATGGCTGACCTGAGTGTTCATAGGGAAGCAGACAAATTGGGGTAAACATTCTAGGCAGAAAGTACAAAATTCCGGGCTCAGC